CTACCAGCTGAATATAACCACATGACAGAACTCAGGCAAAACGAGGAATAGGGGTGCCTGAGTTGCTCGGTTGGTTAAGTGTCGACTTTGACTCATGTCATGATCTTGCAGTTTGTGAATTCGAGCCTGCATTGAGCTCTCTACTGTCAATGCAGAGCCTGCTTCGGTTCCTTTGTCCCTCTGATTCCCCCAACCGTCCGCTGCTCACACTTGCTCTCTCTCTCAAAAATAAATAAACATTAAAAAAAAAAAAAGCCAGCAACCATAGCATCAAAAGAAATAATAAAATACTTGTCTTAAACCATTAGCACTAGGAGCCAAGTATACCTGAGCAAAATAGAATGATGGGAAATAAGTGTCCAAACTACATTTATCTTCTTACTCAATTCAAGTTGTTACTAGTATTTGCTACTTCCTAATGCTTGACACCCAAAGAATAAAGCCATGTATATCTGCATCCTAAGCACTACATCAACAATAAACTAGTAGCTTCATTCAGTTCACGTTATTCATAGTTCTGGCAGTCAAAAAAAGAGCTTTATATAGTAGAGTGAGCGGACTATATTAAACAGAATGTTTGGTCCAACTGAATTATCCCATGTGTAAACATCTTGTATATTCAATCTATGCTGAATACTATGTAGATGTCTCATGGAGTCTCTCTGGAAGGAAAAAACTTTCCCACTCTGGATAACTGAAGGAAATACTTAGTCACAGGAAACAGATTTCAGCTTTTAACATGACCCAAAGAAGAGTTCAGAAAGGCACTGGGGATAACCAACTAAGAAATCACTACACTAAAAACTTATGTGTTGTTTATGGAATATTTTATTCAACAATTCAGTACTCAGTCCTATTTTATATACCAGATCATATGCTAAATTCTACCTTCAAGGAGTTAACCTTAGAATAAAGCTACAGTGAAACAAGACATCAGACATTTATGATACAGTTTATAATACAGTGGTAGAAGCAGAGAGGAGAAACACATCATTTGATCTAGAAACATAAGCTTTAATCAGAAAGAAGTGTGCTCTAGGCAAGTAAAAGAAAAAAATGCAAATGTGCAAAAGTACAGGAAGAGTAAAAGCAAATAATATCTCATACAGACCTCAAACTTCCAATAATAGTCAGTGACCATTTTCAGAGTTTTACTCTAGGGAATGGAAAAATATGTATGTACTTGGACAGTCATTAATTCGAATCGAACTATTGACTGTACATGACTACTACTACAAGGTATCATGGAGACTGATTATATAAATAAAACAGTCCTATCTTCAAGATAATTAAAAATGCAACAAGAGACGCATATATAGAAATAAAGAAGGATAAAAATGGAAAAAGTAGTTTGGGGCCAGCCTGAGCCTCTAATTCCAGGCTAAAAAGCTTTTATCTGATAGGACTCTGTAATTGATTGAATGTGGAAATAACAGCAGAAGGAAAGAAACCAAGTTTTATAGTTTGCAAGATACTTAGGAGAAGGGCAATACCATGAAAAGAAATGGAGAGGTCAGAGAGAGGAAGTAGCATGAGGAAAAATGAAAAAGAAGTTCACTTTTGGCCTATGCAGTTTGTAGTGATCAAGATACAACTTCAAAAAGAGTGAAATTAACTAAAGAAACATGGCAAACATTTTTGACATTTGGATTTCCTTCCAAATCTAACTGAAAAATCATGGCCAAAATAAGAGGTGGCAACCTCACACAAAGTGGGGCTCAGACAACAGTTATAATAGGTACACAATTTGAGGCACTTCCTCCATCCTCCAAAAATTCTCGCATTGTAAAGAATTTTACTGGGTTCCCAACCCCTTCACATTTGATTTCCATTTTGATGGGTATCCTCAGATCCTGGCAAATATCAAACTTAGTTGAATTTCTGGCATTATCTTTGGTGCCATTCTACTGTAGTACTAACTCTACTGATAAATATACGCAAACACCACAGAAAACAAAAAGATTTGCCAAACCACTTTTATAAAGTCCTCAACCCATTCCATTTAAAGAAATCAGCCATAAACAACACAGTCCATAAAGCCCTAAGTTGGAGTTGTAGCTCAGGAACGATTTTAAAAAAGTAAGGCAGGGGAAAAGCAGGTTAGAAGGAGGGAAAGAAGCATTTATCTATTACTGGTCTGTTCAGGGTATCATAAAAAATTCTCTATCCCAGTTTCTTTATATTTAAGTAAAATCTGAACGGTTAGCATTTTATGTTAAATGATTTATAACTTTTTTTAAAAGGACAAACCTAATTATTAAAATACTTTAAGTTGATTCTTAACTTTGAACCTAGGACTAGTATTTGAAGGCAATTCAAAGGTTTCATTGTTATGATAATGAGCCAACGGGTGGGGAGGAAGTCTTTCTGCAAATCACTACCAAGGCTCACCTCCCAAAGTGAAGGGTCATTGAAGATGACATTACACTGCAGGAAGGCTGTTTTCTTTTGTATAGAAACAGCTCTCTAGCAACTTTACCCACACAGCTCTGGCTAAACTTAAGGATAAATTTAGACTTAAAGGGTTACCTTTTTATATTTAAACATAATCTCTTGACTCAAGACCCCCAAAGCCCAAAAACTCTAAACCAATCTACCATAGTTGGGATCTGTTCCTCTGCAATTATTTTAGCTATGAAATAAATACAAGTCTAACTTTATAAATGGTGGCCAGCAAATTACAGCAATTGCGTGTAAGTGTGTAGAAAATCATCCTCAAATTAGTACTAGAAGTTGGACATAAGGTTGAAGGAAAAAAATGATAAAAGAAAGACTGCCCCAGAAAGCTCTCTGAACATGCTAAAATAAAATGCTAAAAAGGTAGTTTAAAATAAGAGAAATCCTCCTAGTGGTCTGAGGGGAAATAAAAAGGGTAACTGTTACTAGCAGGCAGGGCCAGGGCAGCTATGATTCAGATTTACACATAAGAATTCCCAACAAAGATTTCCTTTGAAGATTCACCTGCAAATAAATTAATGTCTGAAAGCAAATACTCTAACCCGGGACAGCCTCAGATGTCAAGCGCTGTGGTAGGCCCGTTTTACATACAAGTAATCCCCATAACAAATTTATGAGGCAGATATTATTACGCTTCTTTTACAAAAGTGTCGATAGATTTATGGAGATTAAAAAAATCGATCTTGTGGGTCATCAGCAACAAGACAAAGACTACAGGTCTCTACGAAATCAAAGCCTACACTTTACCCTTCAAAATCACAGACATCCAAATAACTCATATCCACTTCCAAAACACTTAAGGTTTCTTTTCAAATATTTTTTTCATTTACTGAACACCTACTATGTGCTAACCTGGAACTACAGTGGTAAAGAAGACAACAAGGTCCCTCTTGGACCTTACAGTCTAAGGCAGCAGTTCTCAGCAAAGGATCCTCAGCTGACCCACAGGATACAGAAAATAATTTGAGTAACTCTTGTTCTCAGTTATCCCAAGAACAGTACATAAGTATTACAATTCTAAATGCATAAGCTAGCTCATTACTGTACACCAGATTAGACTCACCATTAGTACTTAATTCTCTCCCTAAAATGCTAGTTGAGAAAGGCTGCCCTAAAGGAAAAACGCTCAAAATAATTAATTATAAATACAAAGAATGTTTTATTACTAATAGTAAAATGTAATTTAGTAAAGTCAGCATAGCTAACATTTACTTAGAATTTAGAAACAGTATGTAATTCACACATACATTCACTAAGGTTAAAAGTATGCTAAAGTGAAATGGAATCATATCCCCTGGGTTACAATCCTGACTCCAACATCACCTTGGGCTCTAAGCTTCAGATCTGTCATCGGCAAAATGAAAACAAACAAACAAAAAAACACCTACCTTTTTCATTTGAGTGAGTATTAAACGAGATGTTGAAAGAGTAAAAAACTCAGAATAGCCCGGTACCCCTCAAAAACTCTTAGCTACTATTTTTATTATTATGCTTCCTGTACCCACTAAGTACAGAGCACTATGCTAGGCACTGGGGAAATAACAATGAGAAAGATGGGAAATACTCCTCCAAAGAATTTCTAATGCAGCATGAGATATGACATCCAGGCAAAGAGAAAGGCATAAAACATCAAAAATGAAAACCATACCCAATTTTCGAAGAATCCTTTTGCATTCATCCCTGCTGAGATCCAAAAGGGTTGGCCACACAACAGGCATTGCTGCTTCTTTTTGGTAGCCCCAAAGAGCTTGTCTTCCCTACCAAGGCAAAAGGAAACAAAATGAAGTTAAAGTACATTCAAAAGGCCACTTACCTGGAGATCCATACACTAAGAAGTAAAACCAGTAAGAACCATCCTATTTCACCACCACAGGTTTCAACTTCTGACAAATGAAGAACTAAAGAGCCATTCCAGAGCTTATTATTCCAGCATAAGACAGCGGAAAGAGCACAGGCTTCAGAGTCAGACACCTCTAGGTTCTAGTTCTAGCTTTCAACTCTCTGGCTGTGGGTTCCTGGGTGAAGGGACCTATCTGAGCAAAAGTTTCACATCCGGGGGAAAAAAAAAGGTGTTAGCGTCCAATTCGTCAAGAAGATTAAAGAACAGTAGGTGAAGTTCTTACCATACTGGCTGGCCTGCTGTTTAACAAACGGTGTCGCTACCTGTGTAACCTTGGGCAAGTTACTTGATTTGCATTGGCTTTCTCACTTATGAGTTACAAGAGGTAAAATACATAAAGCTGCTAGCTCGTTACAAGGGCTGGTGGGATTAAAAAAAAAAAACTTTCTTCTTAAGTCTTAACAGTGAACGATGAATTTACACCGCGTGGTCATTAAACAATCATTCACCAACATTTCAGATGTCAGGAATTTGCTTTGCACTGGGAATCGCCTGTTCCAGAGGATAAACAGACAACTTGGCGCTGAGGGCTTGAACAATACCTGCTCAGCGCACAGTAGATCCACTGTAAATATTTGTTCAGTAGATGAATGAAGATAGAGGAGAGTAAACGGAATGAAGGAGTGAGTGAGTGAATGAATGAATGAGCGCGCTCACTGTCCAGCTGAGCGGGCAGGAACCGCACCGTAATAACTGCTATATCCCGTTCCAGGCACTGGGGCTGCCAACTCCAACTCGGCTCCCGGAGTTGATCCCCCCTCCTCCGACTTCCCATAGTCCTCTCAGCTACCAACCAACCCAGAGCCGGGAGAACTGGACTGCGCGCCCCAGCCCGCAGGATGACATAAAGAAAAGGGGTGGGGAGGAGGAAGAAGGGGCCGAGCCAAAGGAATCCGCTCCCTCCACAAGCGAGTCCCCGCCTCCCGACAGGATCTTGGAGGCGGCCGGCGACCGCCCGAACAGGCACCACGTCACGGCATCCCGACGCGTCCCCGCCAGCGCACCCCACCGCGGGGACGCAGCGGACTGGAAATCCAGGCGGCCGCAGCGGGAGCCCGCGCCGGGAGCCGGGAGCCCGCGTAATCCTCCCCCCACTCAAGTGTCAAGGAGGCAAGCCCGCCCCGCCCCCTCCCCAAACACGCACTCTCTCACAGCACCACAACAAGAGCAGCCCGCCCACCCTCCTCTCCGGTGCCGCGCAGCGCCAACCCCAATGTCAAGCCCACTGCCCAAGCCCTGCAGGGCCAGTAGCCGGTGTCAGGGGCCACGGTCGGCATCAGCGCCTCGCTCCCTCCTCAGCGGAGAGGACAACGGAGAGCGAGTAGGCGCGCGGACAGCCAGGCGGACGACCGAGACTCACCGGGAGGCTCCCAGAGCTGGACCCCCAGGATCCCAGCACCAGGCCTGCCAGAGTCCCCCTCAACCCACCTCAGGGAGCCCCACGATCCCGTTAGGAGACAACGGAGGATGGGGCTGGGCTCCCCAAACCGGGGACCAAATGCTTGGCCCGGCGCTCCTCCAGCCCGGCTAACCTGCCAGCTCTTCCCAGCACCCTGTCTGAGAGTCACCCACCTGCCCGGCCTTTCGGGGCTCATCTAAAAGGCTCCTCCGCCAAGACTAGGGAACACCAGGAATTGGGTTTGTTTGCGGTGCCTCAGAAGGGGCAAGATGGCGACAGGCATCAGGGCGCAGGCGCAGCCGCGCGCTGCCGCTCGGGAGGTGTAGTTCGCCTTTCCCGCCTTTCGGAGAGGTGACTCCAGAAAGCTTCCATTCCCCCAGCCCCTCTTTTCCTCCGCGTTTTGAAAGGAAAAAAGAGGCATCGCGGGAGGTGCTGGGAGTTGTGGTCCGAAATCAAGCTCCCTTCTCTTTCGCTCTCGGTTTGCTGTCGCAGGCGCAAGGAAGGCCGGGATTGTAGTTTCCTTTGCTTCTCCTCCATACCCTCCTTCTCCGGCTTCGCGCGCCTCTCCTCCGGCTGCCGTCTCCCAACCAATCGGCTGCGCTCACTGCTACGTGTGGCGTCACACGTAGGAGCCAAGATGGCGTCCGTAGCTAGAGCTGCGGTTTTGCAGCGACCTTTACTCTAGGCGAGGTTAGGGACGGTGGGAAAGTAGCTTAGTCCCTGAAGCGCTGTTGAGGATGAGGACCGGATTCCCGAGAGCCAAGGGAGCAATGGTCAGCGGCCTCCAGCCCCCACCAGACGCAACTCAAGGAGAGAGAACCCACGCTACAGGAACCGACCCAGCGGACGTTACAGTTGCCAGAACCCGGTTTGGGGGTCGCCGCGTTGCCAGGGGAAAAAGTGGAACCCGAGCGTTCTCCCCTTCGGGTTTCTCTCCACGTGTGAAGTGGGAGTGATAGTGGTATCTCGTGCTTTAGCGGTCAAAGGCAAGAAGGAAAAGGTATTTATTAGAGGCCCTACGACGTGGTAGGTTCATCCTTCAGCCTTTATTCTTGTTTAATCACAGAGCAATTGTGTGAAGTGCTGCAGCTTGACCTCAAGCACGGTTAAATACTAACATGCTATTTCTGCTTCTGTAAATCCGTTTAGCAAACTTGTGCTTCCCTGTTCTGGTTAACCACATCCTAACACCCTGTACACAAAGATTACAAAACACCTCGCTACCATTCGGCGTCAGGTGGTCTGTCACATAGTCACTACTCCACGGTTTCTCAAATGTCTATCTATACTTGGTTATTTCAAAACCTCTGAAGACAAAGAGCTCTGAAATGATAGGTTTCCGCCAAAAACTAGCAACTATGTGTCACAGTGTAATTGGTTACCATGGAATGCTGTAAAATGTAATTGGTTAACTAAATAATGACGTATTCTGCCCTGTTGAAATCTATATAAGCTCACTACAACCTTTGTTCGGGGCCATTCTTTGCATTTTTCTCCTTGAGACCAGATCAGGTTTGGCCCGGCGGTGAATAAAATCTTGCCTCGCTTCTATTCAGCGTTGGGTGGTTTTTCCGACAATCACCTTGCTTCATTTGGAGGTCCCACCGAGATATCTTATGACCACCCGAAATTCGGAGGCTGAAGCGGAACAGCTGGGGAGAGCTCCCGAGAGATGTTCCTCGGCCCCCGCCTTCCGTTCTCAGACCTGACTTAACCAAGGTACGCGAGGTGGCGCCTATTTTCTGTTTTCTGTTACTGGCCAGATCTGTTTCTAGGGAGGGAAGGCTGGACGCTGCTTAACTTCCCCCTACCTGGCGTCTGGTGGAGACGTCCCCAGGCCAACTGTGTCTCCGGGCCATAAGGGTCTTGGACCGTCTGGGTTGGGCTTGATCACCCCGACCATTTGTTCTGTGTTCAGTGCTCTGTGTGTCTTGTTAAATGTTTCCTATTAATCTTTCTCTGGTGTGACCCGCGGTTTAACTTCCGTCATGGGTCCATCTTCATCTAAGACTTGTTTCCCTCTTGAATGTATGCTAAATAACTTTTCTGGTTTTAGGAAAAGAGGGAAAAAAACTGTGGCTTTAACCTAAAGCTGTCCTGGCTGTGGACACACTGCCAGCTGCACTGGCTGACATTCTCTGGGGTTGACTGGCCCCAAGAGGGCTCCTGTAATCTTAACCTTGCCTATGCCGTCTGCACGATTTGCCATGATGTTCACCCCAACCAAGAGACATATGCTGTGACTTGGGTCGACTTCCTAGAAGACCCACCCTCATGGCTGAGAGAGTGCCAACAACAGTACCAAAAGCTGTTATCTGGCACCTCCCTTTCCCACTCGCCTTCCTGTTCTCCTGCGAACACCAAACCCTTGCTTCCCGTCACAGCCTTAAAAGAGGCTTTACCCAGTACTTCAGGAGATACCAGAAGGATGGGGGGGGGACTTATTATCTGATCCTCGGGGACCACCCCCTTATCCCCAGACTTCATCAGCCCCCCAGGGACCAAAGGCCATAGGAGACCCTTTAGCTAGCCCCCCACATACTAGATCAGGAGCCCTATATGGAGGAGAACACCAGTCCTCTGATGCCCCAGTTCCCATCCTTCCTCTTAGGCAAATGGCTCTGGCTCCCAGTCTAGACGGGAAGCCACCACACCCCACACTTGTCTACACTCCCTTCCCTACCACAGACCTCTACAACTGGAAAACTCAGAACGTGCCTTTCTCTGAGAACCCCCAAGGTCTGATTGACTTACTGAGCTCTATCTTCACTACTCACTTACCTACTTGGGAAGATTGTCACCAACTCTTGCAGGTCCTGCTAACTTCCGAGGAAAGGGCCTGAGTGCTCCAAGAAGCAATGAGAGCAGTCCTTGGCCCAGATGGGATGCCTGTCACAGACCTTTACAGAATTGAGCACGTTTTCCCTTCCACGCTGCCCCAATGGGACCCCAACATGGATAACGGTAGGGAGCGTCTACTCCAGTATCACCAGATTCTGTTGTAGGGGCTTCGTGCAGCAGCGCAAAAGCCCACCAATCTGACAAAAATTCATGATACGGTCCAAGGACCGAATGAATCACCTGCAGCCTTCCTAGAAAGGCTTTACCAGGCTTACCACCTATATTCTATTAACCCTGAGGCAGTGGAGAACCAAAAAACTATTATTATGACTTTCGTTTCTCAGTCGGCTCCAGACATCCGTAAGAAGCTTCAGAAGCTAGAAGGATTTGAGGGGAAGGTAATTTCAGAGCCAGTAGAAATAGCCCAACGAGTTTTTCAGAGTAGGGACAGCCCTGCCCTACTCATGCAAGGGAAGGAAATAGGGAAAGTCCTCGGGGCAGCCTGGGGGCTACCCTCAGGTAACAGCAAAGGACAGGGGAAACCCCACTTCCACCAGAAGGGACCCTGAACAATTCTAGGGAAAAATCAATGTACTTATTGTAAGGAAGAAGGGCATTGGAAAGATAAATGCCCTAAGAGAAAACCTCCCATCCTAATGGCCCAGGAGCTATGACGCCATCACAGCTCCCCTCTTTCCCTGAATCCCCTGGAGCCTGTGGTTACCCTCAATGTAGAAGGGAAAGAAACCAGATTCCTTGTTGACATTGGGTCTACGTATTCTGTTCTCAAGGAACCTTTAGGACCTGTGAGTAAAGAAAAGATGTATATTCAGAGAGCCACAGGGCGAACACAAGGCTACCCACGGACTCAGGCCCGAATTACTGACCTGGCCCAAGGGACTATTATTCATTCTTTTGTGCTCATACCTGATTGACCATATTCCCTTCTGGGGAGAGATCTGTTACACAGCTTAAGGCCCAAATCTCCTTTACTGGAAAATCTGTAGACTTAAACCTGCCACCACCCACCATTTTAGTTACATGCCCTATATCAGAGGAATATCTACTCCTAGAAAAACCAGAGCAGAAAGCTTCTCCATTGATAGAAAACTGGAAAGAGACAATTCCTTCAGTTTGGGCTGAAACTAACCCCCTAGACTGGCTATTCAACAAGAACCACTAGTGATAAAGTTAGCTGTCACAGCCACCCCGATCCAGGTGAGGCCATATCCCGTCAGTCAGCAAGCGAGGGAAGGAATTGCCAAACACATTAACTGACTGCGAGAGGCCAGGATCCTAATACTATGCCATTCCCCCTGGAATACTCCTTTGCTTCTGGTCCCGAAGCCTGGAACCTTAGAATACAGGCCAGTAGAGGACCTCAGGGAAGTCAACAAAAGGGTTGAAACAATTCATCTTACAGTTCCCAACCTTTATACTCTCCTGAGTGAGCTTTCACCAAACCACCATCTTTACTCTGTCTTGGACTTAAAGGATGCATGCTTTGCCTTGCCAATTGCAAAGGTCAGTCAGCCTATTTTTGCCTTTGAATGGACAGACCCAGACGGAACCCACAATGGACAGTTAACCTGGACCCGACTGCCCCAGGGATTTAAGAACTCCCCCGCTCTTTTTGATGAGGCTCTTTGGAGGGATTTGGTCCCATACCGGGAGAGTCACCCAGATGTTACTCTGTTACAATATGTAGATGACTTGCTCCTAGCCGCTGACTCCATAGAGAACTGCACAAAGGCTACTGAGGACCTGCTGAGGGAGTTAGATGTCCTAGGATATAAGGTTTGCGCAAAAAAAGGTGCAAATTTGTTTGGACTCTATAATATACACTACTGACTACATGAAGGCAAGTGATCGCTGGGGCTGGAAAGAATCCAAGCTATCCTAAACATTCATAAACCCACAACTAAAAGAGAGTTCTTAGGAGCCACTGGGTACTGCCGCCTCTGGATACCTGGTTTCGCTGAAATGGCAAAACCCCTGTCCTCTGCTACTGGGGGTGAAGGGACTGAGATGGTCTGGGGAGAACAGGAAGATAGGGCTTTTGAGCAAATCAAGTGCACCCTTCCCTAAGCCCCAGCCCTGGCTTTACCTGATATTACCAAGCCTTTCCAGCTATTTGTAACATGAGATCCGGGGAATTGCAAAAGGGGTTCTTACTCAAACTTTGGGCCCCTGGAAATGACCTGTAGCCTACTTGTCCAAAACGGCTGGACTCAGTTGCCACCGGGTGGCCCAGTTGCCTAAGAGCTGTTACCACCACTGCCATGTTGGTT